TGCAAGGTCTGAGCTTCTGCGGAGCCAACTGCAGGCAGCTATCACAAAGCGAGGTCACATAGTATTCAAACAATCTCTTCTGGCCTAAGGCCTAAGACATAACAGACCCAATATGCCTCCCCTCCCGGGCCTACTAATGTCCAATTTTACTTCCACAGCAACACAGTGCTCAGCGTCCCAGTTAGACAATTCAAGTAACAAACTGAGCGATGTTGACAAGCAATGCCCCATCCATAAAAAACCCATCCTTTAAAAAAGTACAGAGGTTTTCAGAGCAAGTCACTGGAAGAGCACAAGGCCTTCCTTAAAGTGAATGGTATTTGCTTTAGGTGTTGCTCTACTACGGCTCATCTTGCGAAGAATTGTGAAGCAGCCCTGAAGTGCAAAGAATGTGAGAGTGACGGACACATTGCAGCACTTCACCCTGGACCTGCTCCATGGGACGTTAGAGACCCCCCCTCTGTGCATGGTGGGGAGGGTGCAGTAGAGGCACCTCAGTTAGCAGTCACCTCCAAGTGTACGGAAGTTTGGGCATTTTTCCACCGCACCAGGTACCGTACTTTCGGTACTTCCAAAAAAAAAATCAGCCCAAAATTAAAACTAATAGTTTAGGCTGTAAAATGCGCTTTATGGTTATGTCATGTTATGTCAGCTTCTATCACAGTATAAGACTCAGTAATATCCAAATTGCATGAATGCTGCCATCATTTACGTTTACGTAGGTACACTTACTTTGGCTAAGCCGATCAAGGCAGTAAGAATTAGCTTACTGCTAATTCAGTCTTTTGAAAGCAAACAAATTATTTAATTATGTTTTTTGATTTTCAAGCAGCATTGTTCGGTGTTTCGCGTATGCCCCGTTTCTTCCAAGTGGCTTGGTATTACGGTGTTCCAGGCAATTCAGTTTCATTATTACATGTGAATACAGTATTGTTATTAGTACCGAGGCCCAGAGTTGCTGTATACCTGTTTTAACAGGGGGGAACCAAATATCATGGATGTCAGGGAATAATGTTTATCCTAATATTTAGGCAAAGATGTATGTGAGATGTCTGAAAATCACTCAGGTACATTATTACATGTGAATACAGTTGATCGTCATGCATAATATAGTCTTATAAGCAATACTATAACATTTTCATCAAGAAATATCTTTATCCAGCGAATTAAATAATTTAATTTATTATCTGTAAAAACAAAAAACATCGAAAAGGCATGTGATGTTTTGAAATATATGGCTTGTTTACCTCAAGAGCTTCATAAAAAGACATCAAAACAACAGCGAAACCGTGTACAAATCATAGCGCGACAGGGGAAACATAGGGAAACTGAATTTCCCGGAACAGCAAAAACTTTTTTATTTCGAGTCGTGCCATCCAAATACCACTGGATCTGTTCATCCGACCATATGGCGATTAAAGCCTGTGTTTCCTCGTTTGTCCATCCTTCCATTTAACTTTTTTATATTTTTGTTTCTACTGCTTTTTATTTTGTTTCTCGCTGTCATCGCTCTGTGTGTTTCAAAAGATGGCGGTTGTATTTTGTGTCTCAGCAGCAGGCTATTTGTATAACCAATCGACAGCAAATACTTTTGCAAGTCCCACCCCAAAGTACCGAAGTACCAAAGAAGTACCCCAGCTGGTTTGGCACTTTCGGTACTGGAACTTTCGGTACTGGTACTCGACCGGAAGTCAATGGAAAAGTGAAAGTACCGTACCGAAAGTACCGTACTTTGTGCAGTGGAAAAACGCCCTTTGTGACAGAGGTAGGGAACCTAGGTCCTGTTCTAAGATCTGCCTGGTGAGAGTCTATTGCAAGGCACGTCCCGATAAGGCCTTTAAGGTGTATGCTATTCTGGAAGATCAAAGTAACAGGCCGTTAAGTCAAAATTCTTCAACCTCTTTCAGGTTAAAGGGTCAGAGTCACCATATACTCTTCACACATGTGCAGGAGTCACTGAATAGTCTGGGAGAAGAGCAACAGGATTCATAGTGGAGTTATTGGATGCTGAACCAATGCAACGGGGGCGTCTGCCTCTGACTTCCGCGGAGAGACGACGCCGATATCAGCAATGCCTCTGTCTGTATTGTGGGGAGCCACAGTCCCATCCGGCCACCGCTACCAAAGGACTCTGCACAGGTGGGCATATCTGTTTTCCTTGATATAACCCAGAAACTGATGACTGTCCCTTTTGTGTTACGGTGGGGCCTTCGGAACGGAGGCTGCATATGCCTTTCTGGATTCCGGTGCAGCAGGGAACTTCATCGACCAGGCCTTCTCTCATCGGTTGCACCTGCGAACCGAGCGACTGACCACCCCAATAACGCTGTTGGGAGTGCACGGACAGCCTCTCCATGCCAAGCAGGTTACTCACCGCACTTGCCCAGTGGAGCTGCAGGTGGGGTTGTTGCATCGCAAAACCATTTCTCTTTTAGTCCTTCCATACTCTCGTGATCCCCTGATCCTCGGCCTCCCCTGGCTCCACTTGCACAATCCCGTGGTGGATTGGCGGACCGGGGAATTGTCCGCATGGTCAGACAGATGTTTCACCCAATGTTTGGCTCTGCCCTATAACGCAACCTCTGTATAGTCCATAACCCGAAAACCTGTCCATAGTGCCGTCGGAATACGGGGACCTGCTAGACGTATTTAGCCGTGCCAGGTCTTTCTGATTACCACCTCACAGAAGCTGTGATTGTGCTATCGATTTCCTTGAGGGGGCACCCTTGCCCAAGTCCCGACAGTTCGCTTTGGCCCGAACGGAGGAAGACGCTATGGACACGTATGTTCGAGAGGGATTACAAAGGGGGATTATTCGACCCTCCACATCACCCGTAACTTCCGGGTTTTTTTTTTATCAAAAAGAAGGACGGAGGGCTTCGGCCATGTGTAGATTATCGAGCAATAAATGCCATAACAGTGAAGCGTCGAGAACCCCTACCTCTGATTCCTGCTGCCCTTCAACAGCTCCGATCCGCGTCAATATTCACAAAACTGGACCTCCGGAGTGCATACAACCTTATCCGTATTCGGAAAGGGGTATTCATGGTATTAATGGAAGACGTCCTTTGTAACCAGCTCTGGTCAATACGAGTACAGGTTATGTCTTATGGTTTGGCAAACAGCCCGTTTATTTTTCAATCATTTATGTATGAGGTGTTCAGAGATATGTTACATCGTTATGTAATAGTGTACATTGATGATATCCTCATTTATTTTAATTTCTATGAGCAGCATGTTGAACATGTACGGAAGGTACTTCATAGATTAAGAAAAAACGATTTGTATGTCAAAGGAGAAAAATGTGTTTACTGTATGTATTGGTGTCAATATCATTAATGTAAATTAGGAACAATAATGGTCCTAAAATTGAACCCTGCGGTACCCCACTATGAACGCAGGCCCACTGCGACATTGTGTCTCTAATAACTACCCGCTGCTTCCTGTCTGTTAATCAGTTTTCAATCCAAGCTGCTACAGTTCCTAAAACCCCTGCAGCTTTGAGCTTAAGCAAGAGCCATTTGTGGGGGACAACATCAAAGGCCTTCCGGAAATCTAAGTAGATTATGTCGTAGGCCTTTTTGTGATCAATTTCTCTTGTAGCTTCCTCAAAGAACTCAAGTAGATTAGTTAAACAGGACCTACCTCTCCTTCATGTTGGCTGTCCCTCAGAATGTTATTTGAATCCAGGAAATCTACCATTTTCACTTGGATTATAGCTTCCATTACCTTTCCAGTTGTGCAAGTTAAACTGATTGGCCTATAGTTTGCTGGATTACTTCTATCCCCTTTTTTGAATATGGGTGTTATATTAGCATGCTTCCAATCAGAAGGTACCACACCAGTAGATAAGGATTTCTGAAATAGTAATGTTAAACGCTCGCTAATAATATCCCTCATCTCTTTTAAAACTATAGGTAAGATGCCATCAGGGTCCAGCGATTTATTTATTTTGAGCTTAGCTAGGCTTTGTACCACATCAACATCAGTTATACATATATTGGTCATAGACGACGCTGTATTTGTACTAAATGGTGGCAGGTTACTTGTGTTCTCTATTGTGAACAGCCGTGTAAAATAATCATTAAACTCATTTACTGTATTAATTTCATTTTCCATTCTAAGACCCTTACTATCCTGCAGATTAGTGATTTCAGCTTTTAGAGCTCTTTTGGAGTTAAAATATTGGAAGAAACTTTTAATGTCATCCTTAGCCTCCAATGCAATCTTCCTTTCTACATTCCTCTTAGCAAGTCTAATGTTATTTTTTAACTCAACCTGTAGACTGCTTTATTTTGAAATTGTTAGTTAATTTCCATTTGTGGAAGAGAGCCCTTTTCCTCCTCACTTTATTCTTAATTTCCGTAGTAAACCACCTTGGCTGCAGTTTCCTAGATTTAGTTTTGCTGGAAACAGGTATGAAGTTTTCTTGCACTTGCAACAGCATGCTTTTAAAAAAATCCTATGCCTCTTCAACAGTTTTACTGTTTAACTCCATCCAGTTTACAGTTTCTAGTTTCAGTCTCATTCCATTAAACGTAGCCTTCCTCATATTGTATATTTTTGTTTTGGACTTTGCTCTTCAGACACTAAAATTAACCTCAAATTTAATCATGTTGTGATCACTACCGTCCAGTGGTTCTAAAACCTCTAATTTTCCAATCCTATCCTGGTTGTTAGACAAAACAAGATCAAGAAGGTCATCTCCCCTGGTAGGGGTGTTAACAAACTGAGTAAAAAAACAATCCTGTACTAATTCCACCATCTCAAGTTCATTTACAGAAGAGCCAGAGACTATGTCTTCTGTTCTGTTAGTTATATCATTCCCCTGTTTAGTTTTGACCCCTTGTGGTCTGTTTTGTTTGTAGTGTTCCCAGTGTTTTCAGTTCCTGTAATAAACACCCTGTTGTCTTGTGGAACCGCAAGTGGATCATCACCTTCCTTTCCTGCCTCTACCATGCCCCTAGTCTGTGAAATGAGGTTTCAAATATCAGTCAGAGTGTATTCACATATACTTTATTTACGCTTTTGTACGAAGTCACAAGTTAGACAAATCGCATGTTACAAACATATGTCTGTCAAGGAATTCACTAGGCATAAGTGCAGGTAGACTGAGCTTCCAATGAATGCCCAGTACAAATGCAAGTAATATGGTAGTAACATGTAAGTAATATTGTAGCAAGAGCTATACAACTATCTTCGAAACAAAACAAGAACGTAATAAGGCTATTAAAATCAGCAGGCAAAGGGGAACACTAAGAGCATTTAGGGAACATAGATTGGTGTAGGCTAGTAGAGCTGTTCCTGGAACAGACGGGTGTTGATGGGTCAGAGCACCAAAGACAGCGCAATACAATGTCTAATACATTATTTCTTCATGTCATGTCATGTCAAGTCAATTTTATTTATATATCAAATTTAAAAGAACAGCAGTTGACCAACTGGAGTGTGTGTGTGTATGCAAAAAAGTATTTACATATTTACAGCTATTTATAGTCATACCAATATTACATAACTATTACAAACTTAATTGATTTGTAGGTGATACATTTCACTGACGAAACACGACATTAATACAACTGGACTATGGACTCAAATCTATTGACCCTTTCCCTTGTTCCTTATTGCTCTTTCTCATCACAGACAGTGATGCCACAAGCAACAGGTCCTTGAAATGTAAATCCCACGTAAAATTCAACATTCTCATTACCATCAGGTACTGAATCAGAGTTCAGGGCAAGCATCTTTATCTCCTTCCCTTTATAGCCGTTGATATAGACATTTCCATGTGCCGTCCAGCCTTGAACACGTTTCAGCATGTGCACAATCTCTGGCGTTTTCCAGATATATCCATCGAACCACTTAATTCTTTTTTGTGACACTGGGAATGTTTTAAAGGCCCGCATCATACTTTTATGCACAATCTTACTCAGGCCACTTCCTTTGCCAAGGTAGAAATGAGTGAAAACTCTCAGCTCTTTGTGAGGCACATTTTTCCGTCTAATGTTGAAGCTTCGTTTCAGAACATCCACAGCAGACATAAGGATTTCATATTTGTTATCCCTCTCCTGATTGGTGTCGTCATCCTCTGGCCAGAAAAGCAATGTGAGTAAGAAGAGGGCATTGGGGTGACATCTGTCTCTGTCCTGAGGGAACTGCTGGCTGCGCGCTTGAAGCTCCTTGAGTTTAGAAGGAGTGGATGCACTTGAAACACACCCTAAGGCTATCTGAGATGCTATGTAGTTGGCCAGTTCTATTTGATCAAGCTTCTTCAGCCCACCGTATACGGTAATTATGGATTCTAGTTGTACCTGTTTCTTTTCAGACAAAAGAGAAAAGATGCTGGTAATATTATCACCTCCAAGAGAACAAATTTTCATGCGTGTTGATAATTGACTTTCATCTTTAGAGGGCAACTCTACGTCTCTGAAAAATTTTCCATACCAGGTAGTTTTTGTCGCAAGCCATTTTATTGGATTCCTTATTCTCAGGTCAGAGTTGTATTTTTCATCACCATCTGAACTGATGTCAGTCTGAAAGTAGCTCAGATCTTCTGAAATTCTCATGAGGGCATCATGCATATTCTTGTGAATGAATTTCAGTTTACTGTGAAAACAGTTCCATGGCTCTTTCACCCCTTCTGGAATGTGATCTTTTACTAAATACTGCATGCATTCAGAGCGGCCCTTTTCTCCATGTGGAAATACTTTCAAAATTAGATTCAAAAGATCACATTCTACTTCAATTTCTGAGAAGTAGCCTGAATCATTCAAGGAGTCCTGCTCCAAATTGGCTGCTTCCTCGCAAGATCTGAAGCATTCAATTGCCTTTAACGCTGTTGCAATTGCATCTGCTGTGGATTCTGGGCTCAAGTCACCTTTAAGATTTTTGCATTTGTTATTGAACCATCTTTTGAACACTTGGCCCTTTGTATCCAAGATATAGGAGTTGTACGGCATTTTTTGCTGGGATACATTTGCCCATTTTTCGGCTGCCTGAAACTTCTCGTATGTGTAACACAACCGTGCAAGCTGCTGAGCAAAGAAGGGATCTTCATTAAACCGTGTGTAGGCTGCTTTCAGGACCTCAAAGGCCTTTTCCAGGTTTTCCTTCTTCAAAATGTGTTCAATGAGAGGAGAAAATGAAGTGTCAGATTTGTCTCCTTTACT